CTGCTCATATTAATCACTCCTCCAGGGATACTGCGAACGGTAACCCGAAGGTCAATGATACCGCAACTCTGGAGTACATGAAAGAAACATTCACCGCGCATTATAATGGCAATCGACAGCCCATTGGGCTATATACACATCCTATCCATCTCTCGGTGAGTGATCCCCGAGTCTCATTGCCGATACTAACAAGATATCCTTTGACAGCTCACCTACCCCGGTGTTCGTACATCCAACAATACAATCGCCATGATCAACGCTTTCCTTGATTGGGCTCAAGAGCAGCAAAACGGTAAGTTCTTGTATTTCCACGTGCATCCTTGTTCATGCGTTTCATAGTCTGGATTGTGTCTTCGGAGCAACTGTTGGCGTACGCCCAGAATCCTGTGCCACTCTCGCAGCTAGAATCATTTGAACCGCTCAAATGCTCTACACCCTCTGTCAACCCAAGCCTGAATATCTGTAATGGTGTTCCGGCCAACGAAGAAGGAACATTAGCTCATTGTGCATTTAGCGAGTCCCCTTTCTACACTTGTGTAAGCCTATCCTTCCGGGATGAATGCCTCATAGCTGATGCCGTACGTGTAGTATGGTTGCCCGGTCACACTACCAACGGTGGAGAATCCTAACCCGCCACAGAATGTGGAGGAAGGGAAGCAAGCGAGATTCAGGTGTATGTCAGGCTGCTTTGCTTCGTCATTTCAACTGCTTACTCGTTGCGATAGTGCCAGCCAACTGTTCAACACCTTTCTGGGATCCGATAAAGGGACAATGTCTATGTCGTGATAGTACGTGCATGTTTCAGGATGTATCCAGGCCTATCGGGGTGCGTTCGCCTTGTTAAAGTTGCGATCATAGTTTGGTGCTGATTCTTGTTCGTGCCTACCCCCGCTCTTCTTTGAATGTGCCGATTCTTTCCTAGCCAAATGGTGCGAACCTCACCGGCGGGGGTATAGGTGGAGCTTTCAATTCCACAATTCCAGAAGATGATCCGACAAAGTATATCCCATTTAATGAGGGTGGGGTTGTGAGGGTTGAAGGGATTCGGGCTTGGACAATGGTTATCTTGGGAGTGTCGATAGTAGAACATTTATTGTGATACTCGTAGTCTATAGTACGGGCAGTGTATGATGTATGGACATTTCGCTGGGAGTGGATGTGCTATGATACCAGAGGCATTCGGGGTAGATGGTTCAGAGTTTTTAGTTTCCCTCGAAATGATTGTCTTAGTGACATATACGGAAGAATTCATGAGAGGTACCAACGACGAACCATGGTACAATCTAGCCCAGACTGCCCAGTACCTGGCCTGATAAGGCTCTTAAAGGCGAGACCCGAAATCGACCCTGCCGCGAAATCCTCGCTGTCACTACAATCCACGAATCCCAGTGTCTTTATCGAAGACAAGATTGACCGGCTAGTTGTGTTGTCACAGATGTGGAAAAGAGTGTCACAGTGTCAGTTGTCATACGCGCCGCGACGGACCACTTTGCTTTCTCACCACCATCATATGCTCCAGGTAAGTCTAGCTTCTCGTTATTTCACAACACACTGCTGACTTGTATCTCTCTTTGATAAGGTCTTTTGAAAGCCTCGAAGCGCTATACAACACCAGAGATAGAAAGAGGGACCCCCAGTGCTGTCCCTCATCAAGACCACGTACCATGGCAAGTCTTGTGAGCTTTCGAGACGGGTTCTCTATCGTTCTAATATCTCCAGACAGCATTCGGAGTGTCAATTTATGGGCTCAAAAAGGCATTTTGCGTGGACAACAAGTGTCAGTTCCAGGTCCGACTCCCATCATCAAGATTAGGCTCTGGGCGGGTAGTTTATACGGCTAAAGTGCTCACAAGTTCATGCATGTGAGTATTCCGATACCTAATAACAATACAGCAAATTGATTTCTTCGGTTTGTTTACAGCTGCCAGTTAACGTTGAACGTGTCATTTGACCGCCCCTTAATCCGTCTCAGCCCATCAAAAAAGCTATCCTTTGTTGTCTTGCCACCACCATCACCAACGCGCTGTTTCCCTATACATTTTTCAACACCCATGCATCACACGCTTCCATCACCACCACCAACCCCCGTCTTTCCGCCAGAACTTTGCGATCTCATTATAGACCACCTCCACAACGACAGCGCCTCCTTATTGGCCTGCGCCCTTGTGTGCAAATCATGGCTACCGCGATCTCGTTCCCATCTCTTTCCAGAACATTTCACGTTCAAGCTACGCCAGAGCAACATTTCCAAGTTCCGGAGCTGCCTCGAAGCTCATGATGCCGGCTTCGAGACATTCATTCGGCGTATCGCGGTCTTCAGCCCGTGGGTACAGGACGTTCAACTCTTCGACCAGCTCGAAGACACTGTCCGTTACCTACTGCATTTGAAGGCCGTATCCTTCACTGCCGCTCCCGACCTGATTCTACGAAAGCCGACTCTCATACGCATGCTATCCCAATCAATAATGTCCTTATCACTACGTTGTGACTCGGGCGGGGCGGAGGAAGGCATCAATGGTGGAGAGATATTGGAAATTGTCAGCTCATTCAGCTTGAAATTGGAGAAGTTGGAGCTTGAGCTCGACACCCTTGGGCTCTGGCTTGCAGAACCTGTTCAGGTACACGCACCATTCCCCAAGCTGTGTATGGTACGGCTTCGGTATCTTCGCCTCTCGGTCCCGTGGAACAGCATCTTACCATGGCTCCTTCTCCCTGATTTCGCCGAATTTCCACTATTAGATACCCTCGTGGTCGAGATTGGGAATACTCAAACACGGCAAGGTGATCGGCGTTTACTTCAAGCATTTTTGGATCTTTGTGCTGGAACAGTAAAGGAGTTGGAGATCAGGTTCTACTATGGGTCGTTACCGGGTTCGTCTGTGCTTCTCTTTCACTATCAGACATGGATTGCTTACCGCCCTAACAGCGATCGATCTCGGCAAGTTCATATCTCTTCGGTCTTTGATTCTGAAGGGATGGCATTTCAGTAACACGAACGTTCAAGGTATTCAGAGCAAGATCGACAAACTCATTTCTACCGTTGCAAAGGAGCGAGCGGTGTGTGTGGAGGTGAAGAATGAGGTCAAGGTTGTTTTGAGGGGGAAGCACAACTCCAATGCTCCTAACGACTGATGAACGCGGCGCCATGGCATCTCACCTTTACAATATGAGTGCTTTCCATTGTACATATACCCACCCTAGCTCTACTCGAGTGTTCTTTGTAATACCCCATGGACACCGAGGAATTAATTCCACTACTTTCGACCTGCCCTAAAGTGACCGTAGGTGCCAGATAACCTGCTCCCTTGCGACCATCATCGATCCACGATGGACCGCACAAACCCAGAATCGCCGTCAAACCTTCCACCGGAACTCTGCGACGCTATTATTGACTGCCTGGACGGCGATTTCGCTACTTTAAAGTCTGCTTCTCTTGTGTGCAGGTCGTGGCTACCACGATGCCGGACATTTCTATTCTCGGATAGGTCCACCTTCGAAGTGGATCCCAATAACATCCGTGAGCTTCGGTCACTTTTAGAATGCTCCTGCGGCTTCTTGTTGGCTTCAGTGCACAGTATCCATCTGACCGGGCGGATACGGGAGCAAGTCGATGGATGTCTGGAGGAACTCGATGGAATCGCGAAGCTCCTGCACGCGCAACTCAAGGAGATCACCTTTAGCTACCCCGGGCCCAAAAATCTCCTAAAACAGCCCCGTTTACTCAATAACCTTTCCCAATCCATCACAACGCTATCTCTATATCATGATGCGTACCGCCTCGATGGCCGGGAGATTCTATTCTTCCTGAGTTACTTTAAGAAGACCTTGGAGTGTCTGAACATGTACCTCGACACTCCTAGAAGAGCTCTCTGTAGCCCAGATCAGCCTAGTCCACCCTATCCAGAGAGTATGCGTATGCTTCGGCTCCGCCGCCTCAAGATCAATGTACCGTGGCACGACATCCTACCATGGTTCTTGATACCCGGCTTGGTCGAGTTTCCTGCTCTAGAGGAACTAGACATATGGATGGCACAGTCACCGCTACGAGGAGAAGGACTCCTACATCAGTTCTTGAGTTCGCTATGCGCAAAAACCTTGCAACATTTGGTAGTTTCTTTCATGTATGAAACGTTACCAGGTTCGTTCCGGCGTTGCTATACCAGAATTACGCTGATACATCTTCCACAGACATCAATCTGAGCAAGTTCGGCGCGCTACGCTCAATCAAGTTTGATGGATGGGGCGCTGAGAATGCAACTGATAGCGAAGTTGAAAAGCTTGTAACGATAGTTTCAAGGGCTCCTGCTTCGGGCAAGTCGTTTCTTGATGTCTTTGTCACAGACAGCGAATACAAGCCACCTCCCTCAGCGGAGAAGTTGAAGGACCGAATCAGGTGGTTTGAAGATGAATGGGAATGGGAGACTAGAGACGGTGTGATACATGAATGACAGTGGCTGGCCCTTTGATGACAAGAAATGGTTGTACCTAATTATAAATTTATACAGAATACTGAATATGCGACCGAACTTCCGGAACCGCCGTCGGAATTCATGTTGAAGAGCGTAGTATGCTCGGTGAGTGGCACTATACTACCCTGCACTGTCTTAACAAACTCTTCAGCAACAGCGGATTACCTCTAGCAAGAAATGAGATCCATCCACAGTGGGCTATACGCTGTCGCAGTATTTCCCTGAAATCTGTTCACGGAACACAACATATATCACGCATTTGGCATCCAACATAGGAGTGTCTTCCGAGTCTTCAACTTTAAGACTTTGACCAGCATCCTCAGAATTCTAACGTGAAGCACAAGACGTAGTTGTAATTTGTCTTTCAGTATAATATGCCGCTTCCGAGGCCGACTTGGACATAGCACAGTGGTACAATGTTGTACTATTTGAACTCGGGTACTACTTTTGGCTGTCGATTCAACTTGAACCTAGCATAGTGGAATCACGTCGTACCCTCAGAACCAATAAAAAGAGGAAACGACTACAATATGCCCCCTGGCTGGATTGAACAACCGACCTTCGCATTGCTTACGTAAGCGTTCCTACAAGTGCGACGCACTACCACTGTGCTAAAGGGGCTTGATGTTTGGGGTGTGCAGAGCGCATACAGTCTGCAAAAGGAATGCAAAACTTGTCACTACTGTCTCTTTATGTACCACTTGACCTGACTATCTCTAAGCTGTACAGTAACATCAGGAGGAGGGGCAGGTAGCAATCCATACACTCCCTCGGCCACAACAACCTGCATTTCGTGGGCTGATGCAGTTGATGCAATTGCTAGCATTGTTACCCAATCAGCTCCAGTCAGGGGTTCGAAAATGAGGGTCTTCAAAGCTACGAGTGGACTCAGATTGATCGTAGCTGGAGCAACAGTGAGATGCAAGTCTTTAAACAGTATGTACAAAAAAACTCACGTATTTGCATGGTCAACCTTGTCGGAGTCGGAAAGGCTATCACGAGGAAATGAAGAGTTTTCCCACAATGTAACCTTAGGAAAGAATCCATTTGGCGGCAGTATGCTTCGGAATCATCACTTTGATAGGGCAAATGAATGCGTAACGAAGTGAGCTTTGAAAGTTCCACAAGACCCGGATAAAGGAACCATGGGAGTACGAGGTTCCACGGAACATGAAGAATTAATTCCTTGAGTTGCGACATGCAAACTTTGTTGGGAAGAACGACTGGTTCAGCATCCATTGCAAAGATTGACAGATGAAGAAATTGGAGGGTTGTGCTGAAATGATCCATAATCTTCAAGACATTGCCAAAGTGTGATGGACCACATGTGCGGTATTGCAATGTTAGGTGGGTGATGGAGCGGGAGAGGAACGATATGAGGTCAGAATGGCAGAGCAAGCCCGACGGTAGGATTCCGCCAAACGAGATTCCCTCTATTTGCCCTATTCCTGATGATCGAAGGCGAAGTATTGCCTCTTTTACTACGGAAAAGGCGGTATAATCTTGGTTCGACGCGAATGAAACCCGTCGAACGTAGGGAATGATTGTGCAGTGTGGAGAGGCCAAGAGCGCGCCAAACTTCTTGACGTTCAGCTCGGTCAAAGAAAAGTTGAATGATTCGTGGAAGATAATGTGACGAGTTCGCGGAACCCAAGTGCTACACACGAGAGAACACGAGAAAAGGGTCGGTTTGTGGTCATGGCAATAATCGATGACGCGTTCGCAGATTTCGGTAGGAAGCCTGGGAGGCTCGTTCTGGGTTGGCATTTTCAGGCTGTCAAACGTGTCTATCAGTGAGACAGGGAGATGCCACTGTAAAAATAACGCACCCAAAACGCACCAGAACCCAGACAGCCTATTTCCGTTTCCAAATTCCGGCGCTCACTGAAATGCCCAACACCTACTCCACCAATCGAGGACCCTGAGCTGAAATCAGCGGATAATGGAGTGAGATTGACCACCTGCATACCGAAAATACTCTGTTGTCGTGCGATGGTGAGAGTACAAAGCAAAGCGAGTCGGCGACACAGCCACCAGTCGGCCCAATCTAGCCCCCGCGTCAGAAGAGGGCAACAAAAATCATATGATGTGCTATGTACATTTTAGAAAAGCGTGCTACTTTGTCGGAATTTTACGCTGTCTTTGCACGTCCGCCAACTCGGAGCATGAACCCTGGAGGAAGGCATAGACCGCTTCAAAGAACACGGTAAGTTTACGTTTCGATAGTCAATAATGTGTACGAGAATCGCGTCAATGTCAGCCTTTAAGATTGCCGCACAGCATAACAAGCACGAAGACTTGAGCTGGCTTAGAGAGCCTGCAAGCGAAGCGTCAATTGAATGGATACTACTGGAAGAATACAATTTACTTGAGCTATACGTGGCACGGAAGATGTACAGATGAGATGTTGCAGTTGGGGATTGGTGCGGGACTCTGTTCAACCAATTCTTGCGGTGCGATGGAAGGTCTGTCGCCATTTGCATCTTCTAACGTTAACCGGATGAACGCTATCCGCCGGTGGAAAAGGGAACGATAGTGCAATGTGGGGATTCCAAGGTGTCGAAACAAGGTGTCGAAAAAGCCTTGTGCGCTTCCGTTGTCCAATTGGAAGTTGGAGGTCCCCGAGAATAGATGGCGTGATTTAGTGTGCACCCAGAGCACGAAACAAGTGAGCATGTGAGAAAGATTTGCTTGTCCTGATAGACATACGAAGACCTGGTCGCAAATGTCAGGCGAAAGCTTTGAGTAATGTGCCTGAGGTCAAAACTGGACAGTCGGCGGGTTTTAGTGCACATGAATAGTGGAAAGTCACAGCTGGAGACGCACCCAAGTACAGCCCAAAGCCGGCCTGCAGAAAACCTTTCGAAGAGACCTGTTAGCATACTTCTTGAAACATTGGCACATAGTCTACCTCAAGCAAAGAGGCCCTGTGAGATGGGGGTGAGAACCAACAGGTTTTATTGATTAATGTAAACACAGCCACGCCTCGTTTTTTCCCTGACCACCATCACGCGATCGCGTCTCTCCTCTATACCACGACTTTGAGGGTCCACGACGAAGACATAAGCTCCCCTCCTTCAAGAAACCCCGGATTCGATATGACAGAGTGGATTTGGTGGGATACAGTGTGGAATGGGTATGTCCATTTCCATCACAACTGCTAGCAGCTAGTTTCCTGATTCGACGAAGAAACCAGGGCCGTCATTCGTCGAGCTGGGAGCGTGTTTAGAAGAGGGTATACTTCAGAAGGGGAGTACCCCAGGTTGTAGACGGATATGATGAAAATAGTAGTACGACGGAGATCAGAAGGAGGAAGAGTTCTTGGTTCGTTTTTGTTCACCTACCTGTCTGCCCGCTCTCATCGTAAGTTTGACCATAGATACTCCAAAACTCGAACTCTCACCAAAAAACGCACTAGAGACCCTACGGACATTGATGATTGCCAGTACCACGACTAGGGCCTTCACAAGGTGCTCGCAGACAGCAGACAGCAGATCTCGGTCACCAAACTAGAATTGCTAGGCCCTCATCTCGGAACCTGAAGTTGCAGTCTAGGGCTAATTACAAATGTCCAGTCGAGTCCTCTGCCGCCTTTTTTAGGGTCAAAAGCCAGGTACAAGTCATCGTGCGCCATCATGTGAGCACCTCTTCCGTCTGCGTTGTGTCTGAGTATGATCATTCCAATCAAGCCTTCTCTGGAAAGCAACAAACGGTACGTGTTTCTCCTATCTCGGCGTCTATATACCCCTTTCTCATTCTTTCATTGTCTAGTGTAGTCCTTGATTGAGAGGAAAACCTGTATTGAGACTCATGCTCAGTTCTCTAATCGATGTATGAAGACAAGCACACTCCCAAAGGTGCGTTATTGCATCCTGCTATTGCTGAGACGCTAAGTTCCTCGCTCTCAGAGCCTGTTGAAGTTCATTGCACCTCACCAAACGGATAGCCTAAGCAAGATCTCTGTGCCTGCTGCTGGAGCGCAAGGTTGAGCTGCTGGCTATCGAGCTCTCCAAGAACGAGATGGTGTGTGTACCCATTCTCGCTTCCATGTGCATTCCTCATCGTTTTTTTCATCCAGAGCGTTCCCGAAGGACAACTTGTCGTTTAAGTTTACCCAACGGAGAAAAGTGCCTCTCTCCTCCAGGCTCCTGTCGAAGAGTTATATGGGTCTGCCAAGCATTTCTGCGCTACGATGTTAAGGCGAGTTGTTGCATATTCGCCAATACGAGAAGCTGAGCTATTGACCTCCAGGGCCTCAGATCATCGGCTATGCTCAACCTACTGCTTCTGCGACAACATATCAAGAAGCGTTCGCTGACGAGTGAAAACAAGGCTATATTCTATCGATATCCGACAAGGCCATATACCCCGTCATGAACGAGCATTTCAAGCGTAGGCTTCTGGGAGAACGATATGGCTTAATCATTGACATCCCGAACGCAGCACGCTAAACATCGACTCTTCGCTGGATGAAAACCCGAAATGGCGAAAGCGCTACTTTGGGGTATGTGCACTGCCATGACAAACTTGTAGCCAGTGTTCTTACTTTTCGCCACTAGAGTAGCACCCAACGTTCATCATTCACGTCCCCAATTGTCATCTTCCTCGTCAAGCTGCTGCCTCCTCCATCTGTTGACGAGCATTCGAGCGAGAAAACACAGAAAGGTCGGTAACTCGGAAGGATACCCCTATAACCGATCTCGGTTTCATCGGGATACGTTTATTATCACTTCTTCTGACACCACCGTCTCTCTGTAGTGCATTTAGCACCACTGTCGTGTTTTCGAGAAGGGTAGCACGTCGGGCGTCTGTGGTCGGGTATCTCGGGGACTGGTAGCGCCCGGTTGATTCAGCTACAAATAGCTTCTGCTTCTGTCGCAGGTCGCTTTCAGAACAATCGGGATGCGGCAAGAAACGGCGACTGACATCCTAGCCCGACGAGGGACTCCAAGGTTCGTTGGGAAGGGTATTGCATGCAGCATAAACGACCGCCTCGGTGCCTTGATGACTCCGAACGTAAACCTTCATGCCAATTTCTCCACTCAATCTAGACCAAATAAGATCAAGTAAGTACTTGACATTCACGTCAAACAGCGCTAGAACTGAAAAGAATTTTATATCGACTCGGGAACTTCCATACTCTAAATTATGAGCGCCCATTTACCGTGGCTTCCCGATGTTCTTAGCATCCGATACGGCACGCGAAAATTAAATCGAAGGCTTCGCTTCGATGTGTATCCGAACTTGCGAGTGGCTTGTTCGCTTCTTTGGACAGCGGAGAGCTTAGTCGGAAACCGGGGTAGGGTATTTAACCTGGCAGGCTTGGGTTCCGCGAACGAGTGTCTCCCAATTTCCTCCAGATTTATTCATGGCGCAGACACCCGAGCTCGTACACAAGTGTTCAGCAGGTGTGAGTTCTCTTCTTTATCCCTTCTCGTCTGTGTTTAATGAATGCCTTCCAGATACATTCTTTGGTCGTCGTTGCGACCACCTTAGTTTTCGCTTTGTCCTCGGCCCCTGCTGTTATATTGCTACTGGAACAGCTGAGGTGTGTTTCATTGTAGATTATAACTGGGAGAGATCATTAACCCAATCTATATGAACAGCTTCAACGAAGATAT